CAGTTTCAGTTACACTGTGCGTGCTCTCCCCACTCCCCAGAACCACCAATGGTAGATCATGGCGGGGGGGGCGAGCATATATATATATATATATATGCATATAGTGCACACCGCATGTCGTGTATACAGTGCCAGAACAGGTCTAAATAGTGTTTATATGCAGATACATGGCATAGTACAGTAGATTACGTATTTAAGGCAAATGATGTTCTGTATTTAATGCAAATGATGTATATTAATATAATGTCTAGAGTATGCTGTATAGCAGGTTACAGCATCTTCTCGTAAACAGTAGTATACTGTAAAGACGGTATGTAAACGTTCGGAAACTTCAAGCATGAGCCAAATACATCATCTTGTTTCCACCTCACGCCACTCAAGTCCAACAGAAATGCTAGTTCCTACGTCATACTTCAACCTTACACTATATGTACTGTGGCGCTACATCTCGGTCTGGACGCTTCGGTGCCTTTTCGTAGACGCCCCATTTTCCGGTTCACGTGTCAAGACACTGCGACGCAAAGCAGTAAACAAGACCTGCTAGCAAGAGACTGGTGATGTCTGAAACCCACAGAACAGACAAAAAAACGTAAGCGTATCCTCTCTACCGGAGTCGAGGCAGAAGACGACTTAACAGCTGGTCGACCAAACCACCGTAGGATCAAACGAGGGTCTAAAGGGATGACGGTTCACAAATTGAGCTCGGCCAGCGGGATGTCAATGTCCATTGGAGGTATACCTACTACCCCTGGGAAAAAGCAAAAACGAGCTGCGCGCCGCGGATCATTGATGATCATTGTCGGGTTCCAAAGTCGCCAAGGTGCAGCGCATAGCTCAACGAGCAACCCGAGGCCGGATTCAGCACATCGACATCGTACCTCCGATGTAGTTACATGGGTTTGGGCTCTAGTGTACTTGGGGTTCAGGGTGCAGAGTTTAAGTTTAGGGTTCGGGCTGTAGGCTGGGCAGGATTCGGAGTTCAGAGTTGTCTGAGTTGTCTGCAAGAGTTTTCTGGACACGTTGTCCAACCTGCATGCTTGTGCTTCGGCATGAAGGCTGGAATGCCGAAGTCTGATTCGAAGAAGCAACAAAGAGCCCAAGCTTGACCTTTGCAGCTGTGATTCTTGCGTTTGAGATTTGGTATTGTGGAACTGTGGTCTGCAATGATCTGAGATTTGTATCTAATTACGACTTGCGGCTTGGGGTTTACGATTGAGCCGAAGTCCAGCAGTCCAAGTTTACCGAACCGATGGCCCAGCAAACGTCAGCCCACAAAGAAGGCAGGCCAATCGTGGCAAGCAGCGGCATCATCACCCGTTGCTACCGAGTGCGAAGACCCACGATAGCTTCTACAAGTACCGTACCGTCTGCAATAGCCCTGCAATGGTCCAACAGTTTACCTAGTGTGTGTTAACAGTATCTCGCGCAACATCGTTGGCCACACCCCCATCAGACAGCAGGTTGGCAATGAGCAAATGCCGGCAACAAACAAGAGATCGAAATCGTAAACCCTGAGACTCTAAGAGGCAGACTGCTTAAGGTAAAGGCCGGGCACTCGGCATCGAATTTCGGCGAAACATCCGCGTGCCACTGCAGCGAAAAGCGAAATGGTGGCGGAATGTGAAAGACAATCTCCAGGTGGATTACCTCCGGATGTCTTTCAGGCAAGCCCGTCAGAAATCTTGAAGTCAGATGCTGACGACCCAGAAAGCCGAAAGCCTCTAATCTCACAGCTGCAAAATGGGAACCTCGTCGCTATAGCCAGTAGACACACGCATATCTCACAGCTAGATGCGGACCCCATCAACATCTAACTAGTGACTAAGTCTGACTAAGCGTTAGAGTTTCGAAAATCTTGACAGCTCCGTTGAAGCATTGTTGAGGGCAGGAGGCAAAACAAAGCAGCAAGGTCACAACCCATCGCACGACTACCACCTTTGAACAAGTACTGCCCGTCTTGTGTTCGGATTGTTTGCACCCATTCTACGGCTCAAGTCATCGGCGAGCTTGCTACGTAAAAAGTCCTACTTCGACGGAGACGACGACGCCAGCAGCAGAGACAAGCACAACAACAGCGACAGCAACAACAACCAACAAACCAACCATCAAGAACAAGAACAAGAACAATAACAAGAATAAGAAGAGCAACAAACAAACAAACAAACAAACAAACAAACAAACAAACAAACAAACAAAATAACAACAAACAAACAAACAAACACCAACAACGACACCACCACCACCACCACCACCACCACCACCGCCACCACCACCACCACCACCACCACCACCACCACCCCACCACAATCACCACCAACAACAACAACAACCACAACAACAACAACCACAACCACAACCAGAGCAAGCACAGCAGCAACACATGCGCCAAAGCGAGGGTAAATAAACAACTAGCCCAACCATCCTTTACGTGGTAGTCATGACTATGGTCCGTGAAGCAGGGCCTTCGGCGTTACGACCTGCAAAAGCTCCTCGACGATGAGGCAGTCAACACCTCCGAAACTCGGGTTGACCTTTGGGATCCTAGCAATGAGCCCAAGGAGTTCGGACATCAGGTTGGCCGGCGAGGCCTCTTCCTTTTGGATTTGGGGGCTCGTTCGGGCTTCCACTTGCCATTGCCAGGCCTCACTCTCCTGGCAGCTTTATCTGCTGATGCACATCCGAGGTTTCCTGTGTCAAGTAAAGAACTCCTAAAACGCAAGTGTGCCTCGACACGTCTTCCGGGTTCGGGCAAAAACCCCAGGCCAGAGTCTCGTTCCCCAAAGGCCTAATAACAGTCTAACATACAAGACTCCTTGATGTCGGTAGACAGGGCGATTGAGCATGACTGTTTCATGCATTCGTTCAGCCATCCTGACGATCAATGGCACAGTACACCTCAAGCTTCGGTGGTGGTGGTGGTGATAGTTAATGGCGCAGCTGCCGGCAGTCATGGTCAGGCTGATCGTGGAGATGACCATGTACACTGGAAGCATTAGCACGCAACGAGACGACATAGACCAATCTCAAATTTCTACAGCAGCAACCCTAGCCCTAGCAACAGAAACGACGCGGCTCAATCCGACGAAAGCCCTCAGTCTCGTAGTAATCAACTACAAAGAGACGATGACAACTGCCACGGTGGAGAAGGGTAGCAAGAAGCCCCTTTTGCAGCTGATTTCTGACCTCGGCGAAAGAACCCCTTCAGCCGGAGCCCGTAGGAAAACCCACAACCAAAGCCCAAAGTCTAACCCTACACCTCTAACATCCTCTAGCCCTAAGCCCCAAAACCCTCATGCTCGACGCTTTGGAGCCCAAGGGGCCGTCGATGTCCACAACCAGGAAGTCCAATGGCCAAGGCTTCGGAGCCTTGGGTTCTGGGGCGTCGGTCGGGCCTCGGTGGGGTCTTAGGATCGGGTTTACATAAGCTAAAACTCAGGTTCAAGCAGGTCTAGTTAGGTGCGGATTTTGCTGCAAAGTCTCTCGCTTCAACAAGGCCTTAGCGTTTATGGCTGAAAAATGTAGGGCCCAAAGGCTTAGGGATTAGGCTGCCTCGCCCCGATCGCCGAAATGAGGGAAGTGGAACCTAGAGTTCTGCCTTGCTGCTTTCTAAGTCACACGAGCTTCTTGGAAGACGATGTCTTGGAGCCTCATGAGAAACCCACCTGTCCTACACAACGGCTCTGCCAACATCACCCAGGAGGAAGAATCCAGCTGGAGTCCCAACGCTGGAAATGGCAAGCAGGGCCACATCTCTCTTCTGTGCATGAAGATAAAGTCCGTCGCGTTTGCAGCGCAGGAAATCTAATCTCTCGCTGCTTCCTCCGATGGCGTCAACGCTGCGAGGCCGCAGCATCCACAAACTCCCCACATGACTCTTTAGTCTGCTTGGTCCAAGGTTTGTGTTCAAGCAGGCAGCCTTGTTCAACGCAGATGCAGACCCAAACAAATGCAGCTTTTTGCAAGGACGTGACATTGCCGAAGATCAGCTTGAGGTAGGGCAGCCTGTGGCTTTGACCGCTAGAGGTTGCCAGGAGGGGGAGCATGATGCCTGTGACTGCCTGTGTGCATTCGGGCGCCTGTCATCCAACATCTACAGTAACTTTTGCTGCATAGAACACTTGAATATCAGTCTCCTCCATGCACCCTCCCGCAAAACTCTGCAACTCTACTGCTCTCAGCTTGCAATTCATCCTACACCAGCCTGCTGCTGCGTCTGTCTGCTAGGAACCCAATGGAGGCTCAGAAGACTCATAAATATTAAACCCCCTGAAAGCCGACACCTTCCTCCCGAATTCGGTGGCGAGTCTTTCAATTCACTTCCGAAGTTCCAAAGCTCACACTTTTCAGCAGCATGCTTTTAGAGTTAAGGGGTTCAGGCATACGACCGTGCCGCTAGACGGGCATCCCTGCGGGAGCCTCTTCACATCAGATTGCTTAGGCTCCATGTGTCGGGGACGCTTGTTGACTGCAGGCTTTAGCTGACTTGTAACATCCAAGAGGGCGTGTGTACCATACCGGGTTGAGGTGCGGCACAAGGGCAACTGGTCGGCGGCAGCTGTTGGATCCATCGTCATGTGCACCTGTTCGGACACAAGGCCCGGGTTCCCAAACAAGAACATCAAGGCATCGGAACCTTGCTTGCGGCCAGATGTGTCAACGTACCTAAATCTCATTGTTCATTCAATGTGCTCGAGATGCCGATGTACACGGCCGAAGCCCGAACCATTCAGCTCAGACTTCACACCACACCATGCTTTTGGGTGTAGGGCACCTTCGAGGCCCTCTGCTCACTTCCGAGGCCCAGAAATCTGCTAATGCCTCACTCTGCAAGACCAGAGCTTATAATTCCTTCACCCCGAAACGACCTTTGCGCAGCTTGCCAATATCAACCTGGACCCACCTCTAAAGCCTGCAAACAGAATCAAAAGGAGCAGGAGCAAAATCCAATAGCATGTGAAGTAACTGCTGACATACATACCCGTTTGTGCATGCCAACACCAACATCAAACATCACTGGAAGCAAATGTTGGGATACCATTAAACGAAACGTCCCTGTCGCGGGACCACAGAGCAAGAATCGTACGGAGTCCATGCGCAGGAGCTTGGAACACTCTGGGGCACGTGCCCATTTCTCAGCCAAGCTACAGCCCTTCAGCAATTTTAACACTCTTGTTAGACCACCGTCGAATCCCTAAACGCTTCTTTGCAGGCACCGGAAGAACCCGTGCCGGCGTCTGGCTCATGGCAATTTCACACCTGGCCAAATCGCCGAAGAAGAAACAAACGTTTTGCAGTCAACGGTTCAGGCTTCTACGGTTTTTCGCTTGGGGGTGCGCGCCCTGAGGTATAGAACCTGAGGGTGTGGGAGGTTTGGGCTGAGGGTTTAGAAGGGTTCGGTCTATGGCTACCGAGGTTTAATTAGGACTTCAATCGGTTTCAAAGGGCGATGGTATCTGCATGGTAGTGCTCCTCGAGATTGCTTCTGCACCGTCTGGGATCTTTTGGGTCGCGTTCGTGAGCTGCTAACTGAAGTTTGCCCTTGCGAACTCTGGGCCGTCTCTGAACTGGCTGTGATCTCCACAACCTGTCCGCAATCTAGGCCCCAGCTTCTTAAACCCTAAAAGCACCTCAACCCAGAACGCATCAACCTGCTGAACACCCAGCCTCGCCTGCCCCATTTGTAATATGCCCCTCAACGCAATGGGCCCGGTATCCGAAACCACTACCTGGACTGACACTTCACTCTCAACTACAACCTAAATCCCCTCTTGAAGGCAAGGAAATGCCTGTCAAGCCGGCTCCGATCCGATTCCACCGCCAATCCGACGAATCCCCAGCCTCACGCAGGACTCAGCTTTTTGTTCTGTCGTTGTCGTGTTTTGCAAACTTTCCTGAAACCTGGTCGAGGCACGCTGGCACATTGATGCAAGGAAATGCAGGCACACACAGAGAGTTTCGTTGTTGTACCGCTCGCGCAGGTTTCTGTGATGACTCGCGCCATGCTGTAAGCCATCTGGTGGCCGCATTGTGAATATTGTTGCTGGTAAAAGTCTGAATGCGTATAGGCTCCTGCAATGTAAATAAAGGGCTGCATACCAACAATGATGTGTGAACAATACTGCATCGTATTACTCGTTACATTTCTGCATTGAAAATAAACGCTTATCTGTGTCGAGGTGCTGGGCCGCCTACCAGTACTGGATGATGAGAGGAGTCGATCTCGTTTGTGTTAAAGTGTAAGCTTGTACATTCTGGGAAGTGGGGGTGGGTTTGCATTGGCTGCTGGGAACCATTGAGCGCTGCTTTGCGGGTAGGTTTCAATCCGCAGCCCTGCATCCGAACCCTGCAAGAAGCCCCAACTCAACCGCAACTACGTCAACCCCCAAAAAAGTCCAAAAAGCAGACCCAACTCAATAAAACCCGTGGCATTCCTGGCCCTGAAACTCGCAACCCTAAACCTTAACTTTTGATCCCACCTTCCGTATTGCAGCCACTATAAGGAAGTACTATGTTAACCCTTATAGCATCTTTGTTCAGGACCCCCAAAAAACCCCAAGAGGCCCATCCTTGAGGCGAGGCCAGGAGCTGGTATAAAGGATCCTCGCAGTTGCTTCCCTCCCACACTTGTCTCCAAGGGTGCCTTTTTTGTATGTTGAGGGACTTACCTGGTTTGGGGTGCTTTCATGGGTGGTTAACTTGTGCTGAGGGCTTCTTCGCTTTTTCAGATTTAAGGCTGAGGCTTTCAGTGTAGAGCCTAGGCTTTCTAGCGGGTTTAGGTTGGGAAAAACTAGTGGTGTAGGGCCAAGTGTAGGGCTTCGAGTTCAAACGGCTTGAGGGGTTTCGCTTGAGGGTTTAGGGTGCTTCTGAGGGCATGGAATTCTAAGACAGCTTGATTTGTCAGGTTCCGGTTTCGGTTGCTATAGGGCTGAGTGGCTTGGGTGCCGAGGTTCGCACCGGGATGCTTGATTATGATTATGGCTTACCGTTATCACGGCTATTTTGGTTCTAATGTGGTTATCTTGGTTGTCATGATTTTTCTTTCCTGTACTATTGAGAGTATTATGGGTATGATTAATTATTAGCATGGTGTCTATGGCTGTATAATTATGATAGAGTTCACTGCGGGGATTCATTTGTAGGATCGGCATTCCGTAAGTGTCCAGGGTTGGATCAAGTTTGGCGGTGACGGGCTCCCGCAAGTCCCTGCACATGGGAGGTTCTTTGCTTTCTTCCCGAAATTCTCGCCCCTGTTCCTATAGCGAAGACCCTATAAACTCGAAACATAACCCACAAGGGCCGTGAAGCCCAATCCCGGAGACGCAGTCCGGTGGCTCACATGTGCCAGCTCCGATATTCACCTCGGCAGCTCTGATAGTCACGTTCCAGGGCTTATCATAGGCCCGAGCATCAGAGAGGGATGCCCTGATTCAACGCACAGAGCCGCCAGGCACAACTCAAAATTGCTCTGAAGCTAGCCTGCCTTATGGAACTGCGCCGGGTTGTAATCAATCTTCCGAACATGTCTTGCATGTTCATATCGTCGTATTGGTTTGTGCTTTCATTACTTTCATAACAGATGCAATTCCTGGTTGGATGCATTGCGCCCATCTCCTCTCTCATAGGTTATGCCAGGTCGCGAAGGTTCCAGAGATTGGATGCCCGAAGGAAGCCAGAAGAACTGCCAGCGGCCAAAGAACTGCACCCCTTAGCATCTAGCAGGTTTTGGCTGCTACAAGCCGAGCAGAAGCAGATTCCTTTACATCGTACCAATGCTAGCCTAAGCTTTGGGCGGGATGCAAGGAAGAACAACAGTAACTAGAGGAGTAGAGCAACGCAAAAAAGAAAACACATCTGTAAACATACAAGTAACACTCAAGTAACTACCAACAAACGCATTCAAAACAAGAGTACCAACCATCATCTGAGCACCCCGAGCCCTGAGCTGCACATTCCACTATACCACTTCTGTGAGATGTGTGGCCTCAGCTACGCTTTGCAGCTTCAGGTTGCCACGGCATCGACTCAAACCTCATCGTTGGAGAATCGCACATTTTGGGCTGTGGGTGCTAAGCTCACCAAGAAGTTCCTAAGCGTTAAGATCAATGTATAGGAGTTGTGTAGCTTGAGGCCTCTGACCGGGTCGAAAATTCCCTAAACTGGCAGCAGTTTTGAGCGCAGGTTTCCGAGATGCGGCATGAGAAAGTGCTCCCACAGAAAGGGCTGATAAAGGCTGACTGAGGAGGATGCAGTTCCTGAAACGGCTTTAAAGCTTCAACATTGGAGGGTCGTGAGTCAAGATGCAATGGAGGGGCGTGTCGACCGTTTGCCGTTCTTGGCCCGGAGCAGATGAACTGGAGGCGCAAACGAAACCTGTGCAGGGCAGGTCGACTGCTCTCCATGAATCCACTCCCTTCTGATCCCCTGACCCAGGCGTCAGAACTTCAGGTAGCTTTGCATCTGGAGCTGAGGCTGCGAGCAGCAGACTCGAGTTGTGGGAGAGCTACAGGGCTAGTCGATGAGCTGGGGTTGCACTTTCGAGTAGGTTTCATGCTTCTGCTGATTCGTCGTAACGCGCCGCTTGCGGTTCCGAGCGCTTTGTGAATGCAGGTGCCGATGCCACAGGAAGGCAGGAGTGCAGGGGGACTGCTTGCTACGTGTTCATTGCAGGAAACGCTACCAGCACTCTGCTACAGCAACAGCACTGCTTAAGAAATCGAGCCCCTCGGACAGACGTGCGACAAAAACATGTTAGACAAAATGCGCAACCTGAAAATAAGAAATCCAAGGTACACTGGACTCGGCGAGCCAATTTCTTATGGTACTCTTCTCATTTTGTCTTCGGCGGTTTTGTTTGTGCAAAACAGAGAACCAAGATTCTAAGGGACTCGATTTCGTAATGCAAAAGCTGGACAGTTTCTTGCGCCTGCCCCCCTCAATTTCTTAAATTTAAGAAATCAAGCCCCTCAATTTCTCATTTTGGTGTTTCTTGGACAAAGCCTTACAAAGCCTTTATTAAGCCCTGATGGAGCCTCTGGAGCCCTCCAAAGCTGTTATTGGGGCTTAATAAAGCCCTTCTTAAGCCCTTATTTGGCAAGCCCAGAGCCCCCCAAAAATTAGAAATTGAGCCCTTCGCTGTATACATGTGGATATGGCCCGAGTGGATAAGCGCATGCGCTAGAGGGGAAGTTGCTGCGGGCTCGAGCCTCTCAGTCTTCTGATTTCTGTGCGGTTAATTTTGGAGCCTTTTCAATTTAAGAAATTTGAGTCAAGAAATGCAGGGTATGCCCAAATCCAGAAATGTATTTTTCACTTAAAAAAAAGAAGGGCGCTTCAATAATAAGAAATCGAGCCCCGCCCCACGAAAAATTAACTGTTCCTTAACCGGCGCTGTGGTAGTCTTATTCTCATCAAGCTTCAGCCCAACAGCCACAAGTATAGTGCACGAGACTCGACGTGGCATGACAACCCACGCACCCTAAATCCAAAACGACCTGCAAGTTCGCCTTGTGGGCTTGAGGTTAGAGTCTCCGTGGACGTGCAATGCTGTAAAGCTCTTGACATAGCAAGCTCATTGATGTGAAGGCAGCACCTGGAGTGTGCTGCCCCAGCCGGAAGCGGAGCCTCCGGAACCACACGGATGCGGCTAAGATGCTAGCGACCACTGTATCTAGACATGCAGACCTACGTGCAGACCACACGTCCGTATCTGGCCATTTTAAGTTTCAACATGATGACTAAAGTGTCTATTGGATTTGCTTGTCTTCATGCCTCGAAAGTTTGGGGAAAACATCGAAAATTGCACATGCCATCCGACGGCATGTACTGAAGGCCCACGAGAACATGCCCGTCTTGTTCTTCTTGCACAGCACTGGACATGCCTCTTTGTCCAGTGGCAGCCATGTTGAGATCAAGCCGTACTGTATCAAGCCAAATGCTCGCACAACCAAGCCTGTGGCTATACATCGAATTCTTAGCTGCATGATGTGAGAGACAAGATTGCCAAGGGCGCAGGCAACGCCCTGCATATCTGTGAATCCGACTTCCGAAACAGACCTTGGTCCTCTTCCCTCCGCGTGTCATGTGGGCCTGTTCGATTCGAATGCGGTCTCGTCAACAGTGGCACCCGGGAAGAGCTTGTGAAAGTGATGCCTGTAACGCACTGCAGTCATTTATCTTCTCAACACCAGAATCCGAGGCAGTGTCTAGAAAGACGACTGCCGTTCGCTTCGAATGAACCCCAAGGCTTCCCTGGGCGCATGTAGGGCTCTTGGCTCGAGAAACTGGGGTTTTTGGAGTTCAGGGTCCTTGTTGAGGTGGCGGTCAGGGTGAAGGATGTCTTACGCTGTCACAACTCGGACATGCCAGGCGAGGATCCATGGTCGCAAGGATGTCTTAAGGTTTGGGGTTCTTCACCGAGTATCTGCATGGGGTACACAGGCACGTGTTCAATAATTCCCTTTAGCAACAGGACATCAGCCGGAGTCGGGTTCGTTGGTCTTTAAAGCCATCGGAACCACAGATGTAAACAAAGTCATAAAAGCATACAGCCTGACACTACGCAGAACAGGGGTTCAAGCAATGACAGCGAGGCCAACAGCGATTAGCAAGGCTCACCACCGACAGAACCTCATCATCGCCATTATCGAGAGCGTAAGCATTGCAACCAAGCATCCTGCTTCTTGAGCACCGCGTCAACATCGCAATATGCGTGGTGGCATTGAGTAACTAACGTGCAGAGTTACAGTAGCACTACCACTGCCACGATTGTTAGGTCACCACTGTTTTCGTCACTATTAGGAACACTGGCACAAGCACCATCGCAGAAAGATGTTATTCTTCAAAACCCGTAACCCTTAGCTAAACACCTAACTCTGAAGGGCCTAATTAAACCTCACCGAGTGGCAGCTCAGCAGGTGTGAGGTGCTCGGTTAAACCTGGATGAACACCAGAGTGCTGGGGCTATGGCTTTCGGCTCGAGAGAAGAAGCATCAGAAAACAGCCAAACAGTCACACGACGACGGTACCAATACCAGCCTCTCTCCCAAGACCGGTATAGACATCAAGAAGAGTTGTCTTGAAACACAAGCATGGGACACACAGAGAGAGTTAATACATGTAGATTCACACTGGCAGCGAGCGGGGGTTGTAACACGAAGCAGCAAGTGGTGGCAATACCGTGTGCAAGATAGTAAGCGAGGGCGTAGAGATGTTATGACAACGCAAAGGCTCTTAAAAAAAACTCATGGTGCCGTTTCTCTTGAGCGCCGCAAGAAGTAAAGCAGAATGATGCACATGAGCAGAACGGTAAACCCTGATCCCATAAAAGAATCGAGGCAGTGAATGGCTACTGCTGTCTGACACTCTGCTTCTCAAGCAGGGGCCTACGCAGGGCAACGAAGACAGCCTAGCAGTGGAGGGTATTGCACCCCTTCTCGCAAATAGATGCTGGCATTTCTGCAGGCATGTTTTGCCTTATGACGATGACGACACTCCCCAGCGCTGCTGAAGCACCGTAAGCCCTAGCCTGCCTCTCTACCATAGTCCTAGTCGTGGGAAGAAAACAGCAACAAGTGGCTGGAGCCCACCTGTAGCCCCGAACCTAAACCCTACACTAGGCCCTGCACCCTTGCAGACTTCCTCAAGCAACCTTTCTAATCCCCAGAAATGTTTGAGGCTTGGCCTTCATGCAATAAGGGTTTTAATGGCAGGGCCTTTTCAAATCATGGGGGCTTGCCCTCGTTAGGCTTGCTAGGGATCCCTAGCGTATAATCCTACTGTTTGGGGTCGAGATTAAATCGGTTCATTGGGTCCTTACAATAAAGATCTCGCTATTCAGGGTCGAGGTTAGGGGGTCGTTTATCTTCTGGAACTCCTTTTTACAATATGGGAGTTTCCGAAAATAGGGGACCCCAATATAGTACCCTAAATAATAGGATCCTTAATATAAGGACCCCAAAATAGGGTACCCTAATTTTCGGAAACCCCCATATGCTTTATGCAATGGACCCCTTCTGCTGACTTGTTTCCCACTGGCTCGGATGTGCGGCTTGGGCACTGACGAAGACCTGGGAGTCGTCTGAAAATCTTTCCAAACTTCAACCCTAAGCCCTTGCAAGGCATCTCATGTAGGGGCCTTAATAATTAGAATAGGGTTTGGGGGCCCATTGCATACTATAAGTATAACAAGGAACCCCCAAAATAGTATAGGTAATGGTCCCTATATTAGCCTATATTAGGGTTTGGGGGTTCAGATTTTCAGAATTAAGGCTGACAGGCTTGTAAGTCTGTCCTCGACCGGTTGTTGTCTGAGTACACTTCCACTTCCAATGAAGGTAGCTAGCCTACCGGCCCAATAGCAAACCGAGCATTCTGTCATTATACACTAGAAGGAGCAGCAATAATAGTTGTTATGTTTATAGCAGTAACAGTATTAATGGTAATGGTAATAGAAACAACAATTACGACAAATAATTGGTAACAGGGTACTAGTAATTATGACAATAATGAATATCGATCATTAAACTCATTAAACCTCAGCCAGCAGCTTGAAGCATTTGGGATTAAGGGTGTAGGGTTTCTGCTGTTTGCAGTTAGTTAGGAACATGCTCCTAGAATTGTGGATGCCACACTTACTACACATCTCGTCATTAAACAATTTGAAATAATATAACTTATAAACTCTTCTTCTTTTTATTTCTACTCGGTGTTATTGATAATCACCGTTCTCCTGCAGGATCTAGACGTGGGTTTCAATATGCATTGCGCAGACTATTCGTTGCTTCGATGCGAGAACAGAGCTCAAAGTCTACAAGCCAAGCAGAATGCCCGAAGCCGCCAGCCTCGAACGTTAACTTCAATGAAGCTCAAAACCTTTTCTCTTCTGTTGTTTTAAAAGTCGGGCCATGTTCATGTCCGTCCCATTTCCCTGGCAATTTGCGCAGGGTTTCGAGGATTGGGCTTCCGAAAGCATGCCACAAAAACGGCAGATAGTAGTAGCAGTCGTAGCAGCAGCAGTAGGAGCAGTCGTGGCAACAGTACCAGCACTACTAATACTACTAGTGCTCCTCCTCCTCCTCCTCTTGCTGCTGCTTCTGCTACTGCTAGTTAGTTCATGCCGGTGGCATCGCGATCAGAGATCGCGAAGCCACTACATTAGTGAGCGACTAATGCTATCCAACCTCAAACAAGACCAGCGACACTGTACAGCATCGAGCCATCCGCCGATTGGCCCTCCTCCCGGAAGCACAATCTGAGCATGCTCAAACACCCAGGGCCTAGCACTTTGGGTTCAAGGAGGAGCAATTCGCAACTGGCTGGGCTGGGGTCGCTTCAGGAGATGTTTTTACAATCCAAACGCCTTACCGCAGCAAAGATTCAGAATAGGGCTAGTGTGGGCCGACGACAACACAGGTCAAACTTCGTCAAACTCGGTGTATGACCGTAAGACGACAATCAGATCTGCTCGAAACTGCTGTAGCTATACGGTGTTTGCGCAAGCTTCCAACGCCGGGACAGTCTGCGGTCATCATAATGCATTGAGCCCTGGCTCAATTGCGCTGAAGCCAACCCCACCCACACCACGGAAGCCTCGGTGACTTAGGTTCTTGTGCACTCACTACCCTTAGAACGAGCAAGCACTTTCGGTGCTGCAGGCAACTCCTCGCAGCTGCCCCGGACCTGTCCTTGCAGCAATGGTCTCGGATGCTCCGAACCACCCAGCACGTCTTGGAAGGGTCTGCCTCCCTGAGGACCAGCGCATGCCATGACTAGGTGAGTTGTTGATGGGTGTGGAGCCCCTGAAGCACAGGGACCCGCTGTGAACCCGCCAGATGACTTCCAAAATCAATATTGCAAAAAAGTGAAGTTGCACACAGCGCAGGATGTCAAGACGTAGGGTGCTTGGGGCTGGTGTGACTTTGTGGCACAGGCTCTCCACAAACAGCTGCAACATGAGCTCACTTGGTATGAGACTAAGTAGGTGGACTCGGCGGGCTCGGCTAAAGCTTCGTTCCTTGTTGAACTGAGTTTTGAAGCTGGAATGAGGCTACGTTGGCACCCTGCAAGCTTATGTCCGAAATCTCAAAGGGCTCGGGTTTCGAGACTCTGCCTGAGACCAGCGCCCAAGAAACAACACAAGCTTGACATACCGCGTTTTTCCTGAAGTTGCTAGACATCTAGGACTTTCCAGACACAGCCTGATAGCTTTGAACAGATAAAAGAGTGAACCCCAGCACTCGAAAGCATCACCGGCCCAGATGAGTCACGGTGCAAATTTCTAGTACCAGGACACTCCTACCAATGAGACAATCCGTCTAATTATAAGTGGACACATCAACGACCATCAGCAACCATGCAGATCCCTGCACATAACACTGCCAGGATCTGCCAGGACGCGCCGGGCAGCACCAATCCGGGTGCCGGCTGTGAGACCAGCACGACACAGCGATCTTGGACAGGCATGGTGCTTTCGTGTGGGCTTTTGTTTCAATTTCGTGTCCGGTCACGCAAACAGGCTCAGCCTCAAGGTGAAGCCGCGAGATTGAAACGGTTCTTCTCTACAGGTGTCGATTTACCATGCTACAGTCGAGGAAAACGGAGAAGCGCGGGCGATCCGTCCAAGCAGGATCACCACTAAATATGAGGATCATGTTCGGGCAAAGGAGAGTGGCAGCAACGAGCATCACCACATCACTGCTTGCTCTTGCCCTAAATACTCGAATGCCGAAAGCGAAGCGGCGGCGGAGTGTTGCAACTACTCTCAGATTCTCCTCTATCTGAAGAGGATGCAAAAGAATCGGGCTTCGGCCAGGGTTTCTACCAAACGACCTTACCATCAAAGCCCGTACCCGGCATCCATGGAGCAGAAACAGGCAAGCTCAAATCGCAAATGTGTGATTCGGAGTTTCTGGTGCTCGCGACCTCATCATCAGAACATATCATTTGTATGATGCTTGCGTTGTTCGTGCTGTCGCTCAGAAGGTGCGAGAGTCTTTACCTGTGGCCTCCCAAGATATCTCTGGTTAAAGGTTGTAGAGAGGTACTTCCGCACGGCATGCTCTGAAAGCTCACTTCGTTCGTTTGCGCGTCCGCCTGTCTGTTCAAAAAAACCAATCTCCCCGCCTCGCAATATGCTGGCCAGGTGCCTAGAACACCCTCCCCTCGAAAAGGAAACCAACCGATGAAACATAAAAACAACGGAGACGCACAAAAAAACACACACACAAACAAACAATCAAGCAATCAATCAAACGGACAAACAAACAACTCACACAGACACACAGAAAAAACAAACAAGCAAGCAAACAAACAAACAAACAAACAAACAAACACACAAACACACAAACACACAAAAGAAACAAACAAACACACAAACAAACAAACAAACACACAAACAAACAAACAAATAAACACACAAACAAACACACAAACACACACACACACACAAGCAAGCAAGCAAGCAAGCAGGCAGGCAGGCAGGCAGGCAGGCAGGCAGGCAGGCAGGCAGGCAGGCAGGCAGGCAGGCAGGCAAGCAAGCAAGCAAGCAAGCAAGCAAGCAAGAGAGTATCCGACCCTGAGTGGTTTTT